TATATCATTTTTTGGTCGACAGTCTAGTGAAATCGCGAGCCAGTGTGCAGAGAGTTGAATCCATAGTAACAAGTATCAACATCCCTCTTCCATTTACAGCACGTGCCTGCGTTATCGATCCATTTGTTGCCCTACAGATGCATGTTCGAAGGGCCTACGGCTGAACAGATGTCAGAGTACAGGAGTACGAAACCACAATTTAGGCTCCTGTAGCGCTGGATAACCACCCTTTGACATTCGCTAATCTAGGTCCATGATCCTTACCCCACTGCCGTCCAAGGCAGCCGTCACCCGAACGAGTCTAAGTATTTGAAATCATCAGCCCTCCGTTTCCGCAGCCACCGACTCAGGATCCCCTTCGCCAGCCTCCTGATCCCCAGCCTCGTCTGCAGGCGCCTCTTCAATAGCCATGAGGCCAGCACCTCCCGGGTTTTGTTCAGCCTCGAGCTGCTTTACCTTCGTGTTGGTCATCTGGTACACGAACTGTCCCAGGTGCTCAACGCCCTCCATACATGCTTGACCCGGCACCTCTCCGCTTTCTGAGGCGATAAGTCGCTGAGATGGCCACATTTCACCAGTGACCAGCATCAATTTGTCTGGTCGCTGGAAGAGCTGCTCGAATGCTGGACGTAATTCGTAGCATGCCTCAAAAACATCCCGTCGTCCCAAGATGTAGAGACCCAGACGGGCTCGCGAGAGGGCGACAGTCATGCGTCGGACGTCTCGCAAGTAGCCAACCCGAGACGTGCGTGTCAAGGACAAGATGATATCTAAACCAAATGTCAGTTTGTGTTTGGTTTGTATGGAAGACATTTGTGAGGCACTTACAGTCATTTTGTTCGCCCTGATACTTATCGACAGTAGAGACGACACGTGGTCGCCCAAAGACGGCTTTGTTGTTGCATCTGTGTGCCAGTACATCATTGACCAGGGCGCGCTGTCCAGCATATGTCGTGAGGATGCTGATTTTTGACGCGGGATAGCCCAGAAGCCGCATATATTGGTAGATGGCCACAGCGTATTCGGCTTCGCCGAGGTTCTGGATGAAATGAGGCGTTGGCTCTGCCTCGCCCTTTCCCTTGTAGTCGGGCACGTTGATAAATTGGTAATCAAACTTGAAGCCAGCATTGGCCTTAAGGAACTCGTCGCTTGCTTGTACGTGAGGCAGGCTGTCCAGTTTTCGGATACCTCCACTTGTATAAATTGGCAATTGCAGGTCGAGCTCGGCCCTGTTGATCAAGATTGATGGTCGGGACACCGAGTCGCACGAGTCGAGAGAAGAGCGACTGCTCAAGGTTTGCATAATGCCGGAATGCGTGGCTCTGGATAACGGGCGAGTTCTGAAGATGATCGCCGCAGAGAACAACACGCTGTAATAAATTCTGCCCATCTTTTGGCTTCTGCATAGCCAAAGGAAGGAAATTCTCAATTTCCGTAATCTGTGCAGCCTCTTCCATGACCACGTTATCGTACCTAAAGCCGAGCGAGGCAATCTCTTCACGCTTAATAGCAGCGTGTGTCGAGGTCATTGCAATGATACGTGCCTCATTGATGAGCAGGTAGTTGGACTTGTCTTTGTCCCTTCGAAGGATTTCGAACGGCAAGACATCAGCCAACTCTGAGAAGATCTTGGAGATGTGACGATAACACCCTTCGGCAATTTCCAGCGCCTTCTGGTGGTCCGCATCATCAGGAAAGAGGGGTTGAGGTGCTGTGGAGAAGAATCTGTGGAAGGGGAAGGCTTCGATTACAGTGGCAGTCATGGCAGTCTCCGACTTTGCTGCTTCCATGAATTTGGCCCACGCAGGCTCAATGTAAACCGAGTTGAAGTAGCCAGCCGTCTCAGCAGAGTTGCCATGCGCACCGGGAGCACCAATACTGGATGCAAGAAGAGTGACCTCTTGTAGATAGCGGTCACGGTTGTCCAGGAACGACTCGACTCGACCATGTTTGCTGAAGCTTCCCTCTGTGTAAAGATCTTCTTCTCCATGGCCTAGACGTAGCAAGTGGCGCTCATCAATGTCTAGAGCAATTATCTTGGCGAAGAGTTGGTTCAATGCCTGGTTACTGTGTGCGATCAAGAGAGTCCTCTGCTCGGGGAAGTTGTGATAGATGTTGTTGATGATTTGAGACGCAACGTCGGTTTTTCCTGTGCCCGGCGGCCCAACAATGACTGTCAAGCCTGGCTGTGACCCGGATGTGATGGCCTCTATCTGAGCCGAAGTGAAGCGAATAGCATTAAGCTTCGGGGCGTCAACTGGGAAGGGACCCTCGTTCGGTGGTCTGTATGTGGACACTTTGACGGTTTCCACCTCTACCGACAGTGGGGGCTCCGCGTCCCGTCTACGCTTCTTGGTGGGTTTCGGCAGCAGGACAGCTGGCGTATCTGCGGCCTCCAGAACGTACGGCGGTCCGAAGCTCCCTGACGCATCGTCGTTAGGCTCAATGATTTTGCCAGGCAGGCTCTCAATGAGGTGTTGCCAGTCAAGAAAGGTGTCCCGATAATCGAGCCTCTTGACACGATTGGGCAATTGCTTGTAGGTTGCACCGGCGGGATCGCCGTATCCCAGGAATACTTCATGAAGCCACGACGCGACAGGTACATCGGAGAGTGTCAGGCTGCGTATAGACTCAAGCACCGGTTTGAAGTTGTTCTCTCGCCCACTCCGCCTCAGGATAACGTTGATACGTCCGTAGACGGCAGGTTCGTTTTCACCCGTCAGATCAGCATCTCTGGCGTAAGTACCAGCATCGAGTTTGAGGCGGAACGTGCGCTTCCCGTCGTGGCGGCCGTTGAGCTCCCGCGCGGTTCTGCCCTTATCGTCTGTGATCGCAATTACTTCTGCTGTCCGGATGGCCGTGACACCTAAGCGCTGGGCTTCCGAGGTGGTCCCTTCGCCATTGGCCGTGCCGTCGGAGGCCGTAGGTTCGATGGCCAACAAAAACACAACATCATCCGGACGAAGAGAGTCCCAATCTCGGCGGGTGCCCTCGGCGACTCGTCGATAATCTACAGTCAGCTCTGCTCGTACAATCGATGGCTTGTCGGCTCCGACTAGCGCAGGAACCACTTCGAGTATGCTGTGAAAGAAAGAAAAAGTCAATTTTTGCAGATACGTATTGAGATGGCACCAAACACTTACGAAACTTTAGATGCCGGCAGGGCCATCTTTGAAGAGCCTACAAATTTGACTTCGCCAGGTTTCGGTGCCTCAGGGCGGAGTCGCCGAACCGCAGTCTCAACGTCCTTTCGAATTCCGTAAAAGGCCTCTGATCGGTAAAGCGTCAGAGACCTCCAAAGAAAGTCGCCCACGGAAAGGTATTGCAGGTTTAGTTTCGGCATCGCAAGAGGATGAGTTCCATCATACTTTTCGGCTCGGATAAGGTGCTTTCGAATAAAGAATGTTCCGTAGGAACCAGGCTGAGGTTTGGGCTATCTGCTG